TGTTGTGCTGCACGTTGCTGCAGCTCTGCAAACACAGGGATGAGAACATCCCTACTGAATTGCAGCTCCAGCAATGCAGAGAGGATACCCAGTATAAAACATGTCCAGTGCTGAACAGTAGAGGTGGGATTTGAGTGAGACAATCATAAATGAGAGGGTCTGTAACAGGACATAGGACAAAGCCCTGGAAAGATGGCTGAGAAGTATCTATCTGTGACTGAATTTGTGATACAGTGTTGGCCCCAAGCCAGGCATCATTTCTTTGTGCTTTCTGTTTTTTTGATGGGCCTCACCCAAAAATCCTGGGAGAAAAATGATCTCTCTGGGCAGGTGGTAACAATAACAGACTTCTCTAAACCTGTCCCAAAAGAGCACTCAGAATTGTAAACTTCAGGAGCAAAACAAGGCCTGAAACCTAAACAATTAATTTTCTCTTAGAATTAAGCCAATGAAAACCTGTTAAGTCTTTTATGCCAAGTTCTGTGTTGTTCTCCAGCAAAGTGCACATACTATAAATTGCTGGGACTGACTACATGACAAGTGCACAAGCGTTTGTCTAAAATCACAAAGGTCTTACCTCATAATTTTGAGCTGACCCATTTGCCATCAGTTCTTGGAGAATCTTTGGGCTATTCATTTGATCTAACTTTCTCTGTTTACAAGGGTTACAAGTAAAACCAGTGATCCACAAACTAGTATCTGTCTGTCAGGTACTCCAGGAAGATACATGTGGGAGTAAATTATCACTATTGGGCAGAAAAGGTTTTTTCCCTCAGATTTTGTTAGGCTTTTAAAGCCATTTACAAGTGTAACTGACTTTTATTTCTGTCTAAATTTCCTTTTATAAACTAGGTGTATCTCTAGGACATGAAGTATAAACGTGATACTTCGGACCTCAGCCCTTTCATGAGTTTGTAACCTTCAATGTAGATATCCTAGAAAAATTGTGTGCATTTTTGTATTTATTCCTGACCTATTGTCTCTTTAACAGTTAGATTAAGGACATGGAAAGGTTTTGAGAGTACTGCTTAGTGAATAAAGGATAAATAAAGCAATGTTGAGCTGTCACAGCAGATGTTATGATGAGCACACCCAGCAGGGAGTTAGCTTGCTATGCTCTTTAATTTGGCTACCAAGGTTTTGTCCATATTTAGAATGATTTGAACACAGTGGATGAGAAGTACCTGTATTCTGGTAACTTACTATGTGTTTTCATGTCCAGTCATAAAATGTACAGTATAAATTGTATAGGTGCCCAGTGGCACTGATTTCTTCATTCCTCCCCCTACTCGTGAAGCAACACTGTATACCTCAAACCCAACCCTCTTTAGGAATGCTCTGGAGGAACAGATGTAAATTTTCTGTCTTACTGCCTCAGTATCATCTGAGGCTGTCAGTCCCACTGAGCTTCACATGAGTTTTATCAAAACATGACAAGATTTTAAGTGCACACACCTACAGCCAAATCTGGCTCTTAGCAGCCCTTGTGCAAATCCAGCGTAGCTAATAAAGTCCTGCAGGAATAACCATGGCAGAGTTTTGGCAACACAGAATAATCTCAGGGTTAAATCCACTGCTGCTCTGTATCCTCTGCTGCACAGCTCAAGCCCTGGTCAGTTCAGGGAGTAATTATATTTCATTCTCTCAACTATATTCATTTTATTGGTGCTGCTGCTGCTCAGACACGGCAGCCTGTGCAACACAATCAAGCTGGCTTGTGGTTTTGTAAAAGCACGAACTTATGTTTGCTGAGTGGATTAGGGAAGCACATAAAAGAAAAATAATATAAAAGCTGTGGATTATCCTAAGGTGTGTCTCTGAACGACCAGAATTAAGACTATTGTGGTGTTTCTCCCTTACTTTATAGCAAACTATTACATTTATTTTTGGAAATGCTGTAGGAAATATTTGTAATGTCATTGTAGTGAAAAAAAACAAGCATTTGTCAGGTGTGGCAGCTTGTTTTGTGGTGTGGGACGTGACAGGAAGGTTGAGGTTTTATGTGTTTCTCTTGACCAGTGCAGAAAGATTATGGAAAAATGAAAACAAAGGATGGATCTTCTTTTCTAGTCTTTTTCGTGTCACTTGGAGTAGCTGAGAGTCACCAAATGGCATGGCATGCTGCAGGGTACAAGGTACAATTTATGTATGTGCAGATAAGACATGAATTTAAGCAATGTGCATGGGAAGACCCCAAAAGAGGGGTCTAAACTCCTTTCCATGGAACAGACACCCATACCTTGGGTATTGTATCTGACATTTATCCCTGCAGTGGATCTGGATCACCACTCCCTTCAGGAGGTTGCATAACTTTGCAAGGTTTCTTGAAGGTTTTAGAGGCAGCTGCAATAACAAAGATAGATCCAAGTCAAAGAGCACTGATGTGAACTGACCTGAAATTCAACTGCGACACCATCTTCGTCCTGTGTTTAGACAAGAAGCTTCAACAGTAAAACACATTTGCTTTACACATCACCCCTGCGGGGGATCTGCAGTTCCTGATGGCCGGCGTTCACTCTAACCCTTACCTTGTCTCTCCTTCCAGCTTCACGTGGCTGTGTGGCCAGGTTCACCGCAACCTCCTCTCCAAGTTCACGGGCCAGGTTGTGGAGCTGTTTGACGAGGAGTTCCGGCACCTGTACGCGCTGTCCAAGCCCGTGCGGGGCCCCAAGACCCCGCCGCGCAGCCTCCCCTTCCTGTTCAGCCGGAGCTGGGCTCCCCCGCGCAGCCTCCCCTACAGCGACGAGGGAAGCGCCAACACCCTCTCCGACCCCTTCAGCAGCCTCTCCGCTGGCAGCACGAACCAGAGCAAGCAGACCCCAAGAGCTCTCATATTCAACAGCAACTTCACCCCCCAGTCACCTCTCCACCGAGTCAACTCCTTCCACAGCTACGTCTCATTCACTCCCCCGCCTCCACAGAAAGCCATCCAGCCTAACTACTATCAGCCACACTACATGGCCGAAAACTCCACAGTCCCCTATAACAACATGAACATTTACAGACCCATAAGACTCAGGCAAGAGGAACCGAACAGGACGGGGTTAAGCTCATCCTGGAGATGCCTCCACAAAGCTAACCTGTTTGCATAATAACCACCTTGTTTGGAAATGCAAGTAAATGTAGTGAGGACCTGTTTAGCAATCGCTTGTGTACTGATGAATATAGAAATTCTGTATAATACAAATGAGGATGATTTTAAGCCTCTTGTTTTGTTGCTTATGGATGCTTCATTTCCCTGATGAAAAAGCCAAGGCTGCTAATGTGTGAACCTCAGGTACATCAGGATCCCAGGAAGAACACATCTGAATAATGCTGCCCACAGTGCAACACTGCTGCTGCCTTATCACCTGCCCCTGGCGGCATATTTGTGTACCAGAAGGACAGTAACTGTTTTTCTTATGTCCATGTAACTGAAAGGGGGTAAGGCACAGTTTACTACTATGAATTTTATGCACTTGAATAAGGAGACTGAAGGCTGCTATTTCCACGGCAAACAGAGATGATGCTGGCAGCAGCAGGCTACCTTTGTGCTCTCATCAAACCTTTATCTTGATTTAGGGGGACTACCTTCAGGCTGGCAGGGAAGCACAGGACCTGCCTCAGAGCTCTCTGCTTGAGCTGCACAGCAAGGATGGCTGTTCCCAAGGATTCTTAGGAAGGACTGAGACAGAAGTTCTGGTTATGGAAGACACCTTACATTTACTGGTCAGCAACACAGGTGTGTCCCAGCGCACTTGGTGACAAATCTCCAATCCTACCAGCTCAGGGCAACTTTCCTTATGCAGAGCAGCTGTGAAGGTTCAGACTGAAAAATGAAGCTGAGTTAAAGAAGCAAAGTCCTACTCATAACACACCAGGACTGAGTTGCAATTCATTTGGACACATGGATCTTTGAAATCCTTTCTGTGGTCACCTGATTGAACATGAAGTTAGAGATAATGCCGAGTTCTTCATGGCCTCTAATTTTTAAAGATAAACCGAGTGTCTGTAGTGCTCATGGACTAGAGTTACAAAGGGAGTTACAAAGGTTCAGCAGCTTGAATCAAACCAGAAAAACTTTCTGCAAATAATCCCTGAAAACTAAGGAAGCTTACTAAGTAAGCGAAAGTAAGAAAATTCATGAAACAAAGGATTTCCATTCAAAGTTACCAAGATGTCTAACAGCTGTTGATTTTTTTTCCATACCTGCTTTGTATCATCTCTCATCTGCCTCCAACAGAAAACAGAACCCTAAACACACTTGCACTTCTGGCCTGTTTTCCCTGACTTCTCACCTGCTCAAAAAGGAATACAATCTAATTATGTAGACTGTGGATGATAATAATATATGCAGGTGAAGAAGGTTTCTTCTCCTTGGAAGAGCAATCATTTGGAAGCATACCTGTAAAGTTTAAAGAACATTGGGAAAGGTACAGGATGGACACATCCTGCTCTAGCTTCAGTATGGGTGTTTTAACCAATAATACCAAATTTTGGAGTCCATAATAATAATCAACTATTGCATATAATTGTAAATTCTGTATATAGCAACATTTTTGGATTCCTCGGGGAGAAGGGAAATTTGATTTTCATTCCTATGATAATTCTACTTCATTATCTGAATATAGCAACCATTCAAATAAAATACTTTTTTCTTCATATTCTCTTGCCCTGTACACCTTAATTCTATTCTCTTTCAAAAGCTGAATGAGTCCCATGCAGTCAAGGCCCAGATGAAGAAGAAACCTATTTTGTTTCTTCTGAAATCTGGAACAAACTTAAGGTGTCCTAACAGACTAATTAAGGTTTTCCTTATAAATGTGGTGCATGTCACTGATCCTGTTGTGGCCCAGCTGGGGTGGTACAGAGGGGGACGTGGGCAGAAGTTTGTAGACTTTGATTTCCTCAGGCCATGTCCTGTAAAATCCATGAAGGAACTCTCAGGGCTCTGTGGGGCAAGACAGTTTGCCTACAAAAGTTTTGCAGAACATAGCTAATGAAAAGTAGGTAAGGTTCAAGCTAATAATCCAGAACAACCATTGTGAGTTAATTTCAGCTGGATCAGGAAAACAGCTTATGTTGGTTCAGACAATATCTGAACTCGAACATCAAGTGAACGAAATTTCAGTTTTGATGGAAAACAGTCAGGTTATAATTTCAGTAATGACTTATGCTAAAAATCCTAACAGGCCCCCACAACTTAGTGATAAAGGACAACGTTTATAGGAAGCTGCAGAAAATGTCACAAAGGCCATGGCAGGTGCTGACCTGCCCTGTCTATCTGTGGCAAGAAAAGGGCTCAGATAAACTTGGCTACCTTGGCTACCACAGCGTGCACTCTCCTCAGGTCTGAGGATGACAGCAAGCCGAGTGCTGCAGGTGAGTCACTTGAGGGAAGGGATGTTGTCCACAGGGAGCTGGGCAGGCTGGAGGCCCACATGAACCCCATGAAGTTCAACAAGGCCAAGTGCAAGGTCTTGCACCTGGGCTGGGGCAATCCACAGTACCTGTGCAGAGTGGAAGATTAACAGATGGAGAGCAGCCCAGAGGAGACCCTGGGAATACTGGAGGGTTTATTGGACATGAGCTGTCACTGTGCATGTGCAGCCCAGAAAGCCAAACGTGCCCTGGGCTGCATCCAAAGCCCCATGGGGAGCAGGGTGAGGGAGGGGATTCTGCCCCTCTGCTCTCTTCTGCTCTGGTGTGATCCCACCTGCAGTGCTGCACCCAGCTCTGGGCACACACCCTGCAAAGTGACTCAGGATCTCATCTGGGCTTTGCTGAGGCTTTGTTGAATTCCCCTGCTGCCCTCCTATTTTGTCGGAAGATGATCTAGGTGGGGCTAACAAGCTTACATAAATGTAGCCTGTACCAACCTCCAAAATATTTACAGAAGTGAATTTCTAATTAAAAGTGATTTTTTTGGGATGTTTCGACTTTTTTAGAATGGGAGGACCTGTGGAGGGCAGCAGGAGCCTCCAACGGGTCCCAGCAAAGCCCAGGTGAGGCCTCAGTGCACTATGGAGGGCAATTAAGTCCCTATGTGGGCCCCTGCACAGCCTAAGAAAAGCCCCAGGGCTTTCTGGAGGGCAACTCTGCCATGTCAGAGCACCACTGGTGGTGACAGCAATGAGCACGCTCCTGTCAGAGCTGGTTCTGTGCATGTCCTCACCACGGGGAGCAGAGAGCAGGCAAGTGCCACTGCCCAAGGAACTGTTATGCACCAGGAAAGGATGTTTTGCAGGGCAGCAGGAACCCACAGCTGCCTCTGTGTTCACACCCTGGAACTAAGCTGGATGAATAGGCTGGGCTTGGCCAGGGTTTTCCAGAGTGTCCCTTTGTCCCTTTCCCAACCAGAACTAGCCCTGCAGGTCTTCCAGCTGGTGTCCTGTGAGCAAGTGCTGCCCATTAAGGTGGTTTGGAATGTGCATCCTGGTGCCCAGACATACAACTCCTACTGGGTCCTACCAGCAATTGCTGCTCACACTGGAGGCACCCAGAGGAGTCTGTGCTCAAGGACATTCCCTGTGCTTGCTGCCTGTGAACCTGGAAGCATTTCACTGATTGTTTCTTCCCCAGGCTGCTTCCAGTCACCTGAGACTTCACCTGACTTCCATGACTTCGAATATCATAAAGAATGGCTTGGTGACTACACCAGCCAATTCCTTCAGGACTCTAGGACACATCTCACCAGGTCCCACAGACTTAGGTATGTTCAGGTTCCTCAGGTGCTCTCGACCCTGATCTTCTCTTACAGTAGGAGGGGCTTGGCTTCCCCAGTCCCTGCCTTGAGAGCCATCGACTCAAGAGGCATAAGAGGAGAAGTTGCCAGTGAAAACTGAGGCAAAAAATTCATTGAATACCTCAGCCTTCTCCATGTCCATTGTCATCAGTTTGCCTGTTCTTCCACAGGCAGCTGCTTGGTTTTGATTTGTTTTTTTTTCCTTTTCTTTGTGAGACAGACAGTTCCCTGTTCTTACCCCGTTATTCCTCCTAGAAAACAAAGACCATCCAGGTGTTACTCCTCCCTCAACCATTGCACACCATACTACTTCTCCTTTCCAAGGACCCTCACTAGGCCTGCCAACTGCACCTTCGTTCCTGGGGAGGTGACAGAGCAACAGATCTTGGAAATTATTTCCAACTTGTCCTGTAATGGACAATAAGGTGATGGCAAATAGTGAACAGGGACTGGCTGGATGAGGCAATTCTGCCTTACAATGTATCACATAGGAGGCGAGAAGGCCAGCTGACTCACATCAAAAGAACCTCCCCAGGGCCAGTGCTGGGAGGGTCTCCCCTCCAGCATTCCAGCCACTCATCCTCACACAGAATTACATCCAGCTTGATGGCAGTCCTGAAGCACTGTCAATTTTCTTCTCGTGTTCCAGAATTTCTGTCACCAGTGAACCCCATTTTACCTTACCTATTGAACCCCCTGATGACTGATGCTGTCCCCAGTTTTAGGACCTTCCCAGGAGTGTGGACACTGCAAGGACAGTTGGGTGAACTCACCCACTACTGGCTGTGTCATATGCCATCACCACACTCACCAGGTGGAGAGCCCTCAGAGTCTCACCTGGGTTTCCAGATTGTTATCAAAACGGGTTTGCTTGCGTTTTTCATCTAGCTTGTGTATCCATACCAGAAAGAAGGCAGGAGAAGTTGGCACTACCTAAAACCCCTTTGCTGCTGCCAGCAATAAAGCTCTAAGCTGGGAGCACTAGCAGGACTCCCTGTTGCAACCCTTGATTCCTCATTTTTACAATGACTACTTGCTGATGAAAATAAAGAATAAATATTTTTTTGTTTTCCTTTGTTTCCTTGTGCAGCCTTTGCTTTTTCTCTATTAAACTGCCTTTATTGTGAACCACAGGTCTTTTTTTCATCCACCTTACTTTTTCCTTCCCTGTGGTGCTGGGGGGGTGATAGAGTGTCAGGGTGGGCACCTGGCAGCAGGCCAAGGTCAACCCCCCAGCCAGTGAAAAGATGACAGGTTTTAAATTGAAAGAGGGTAGATTTAGACTACACACAAGGAAGAATTTTTTTTATGATTAGGGTGGTGAGGCACTGGAACAGGTTGCCCAGAGAAGCTATGGATGCCCCATCATTGGCAGTGTTGAAGGTCAGGTTGGATGGGGCTTTGAGCAACCTGGCTGAGTGCAAAGTTCCCTGCCAACCCCCCAGGAAGGAAGGTTGGAACTGGATGATCTTTGAAGTTCCCTTCCAACCCAAATCATTCGATGATTCTGTGATGAAAACTGTATTAACGTTACTAATTACAGCACTAATGCATTCCCTCACCTCAAAGCCAGCAGCATTCAAACACTCAAGATAAGATACACAATGGTGTTTGTAGACAGTGCTCATTTCAGGAGCATCAGAAACAGCAGCAGAGGGTCCTTCCCAAAGCACCTGCACCACAAGCAAGTGTTAAAATAACAAAATCAAACCTCAGTAACTGTTAATGAATTCTCACTTGCAATTTGCAATACTAAAATTTGCTGTTTCATTCAGAATGGAGTACTGATGCACGTACTAATACCAACAATAATGTCATAAAAGTCAAATCATTAAGAAATCTATTACAGGCAGATGTAAAATTATGCAGAAGGTAGATGCAACAATGAAACATTCAATGCAAAATGGAAATGCAAAGTCCCTCCTGAGACATGATCAGAAACAGAAAACTGGAGTTAGAAGAGGCACAAAAAAGGGAGAGGCAGGCCAAAAAAGGAGGAACCAAAGTAGCTGAGATGAGAGATAACCAGGCAAAAAGGGACAAAGGAACATTTTATAGCCCAAGTGCAATAAACGCTGGTTATTTGGAACAGCAACTTGTGACACATTCAGAATAGCATTCATCTTCTTTTCTTTGCAGTAGTTAAAACTAACATTTTTGTTTTATTGTTATGTTTTAGAAAATGCTGCCTACTCTTAAGAGCTACACTTGTCTTTAACTCCTGGAGCCAGTGGGGAGTTTACCTTTGTGTTCCCAGTTTAAGAAACAATGTCAAGTCAAACAATCCGCACAGACAACAAAAAGTTTCCAAATCACCTTGGCTAGCTACTGTGTATTTTGCTGCTAAAACAGTTCCAATGCTATTTGTGAAGCCAAATGATTTGGTGAGTTTCCACTAAATGTCTATACAGACCTGTCCCACAAAAGCTGTGCTCTGATGTCCTAACAGCTGAGACAAAACAAATTACAGCCTTTTTATGTGGCCACTCATGACCTTTAGTTTAAGAATGAAGTGGGAGATGCCCACGTTTCATTTTTTTGCTGACATATTTTGCATTAAGCTTTGCACGTTTGCTGTCTTTGCTGTAAGATTCTCCTGTTGATGCCAACATTGTAATTAATTTACAACACATTGTGGACGGTCTCTTCTGAAGAATTACAACACCTCTTAGTCTTAAAAGCATCCCCAGCCCTCCAAGCGGGCTTCATGGCCACCTGACTACAGCGCTGCACAAACGCACACAAAAGTTTCCACCTAGCAAAGTGCACGCATGACTAAACCAAATCTTCTGTGGTACATGATGAGTGCACTAATGCTCACCCAAGGATACTTGCCAAGTCATCATCTTTTGTAACCAGCTGACCAGGATGTGGTTTAATCGCATTAACTCACCAAACTATCAAAAGTAATTTGATGTGGCTGAAGGCAATATTCCACTTTTCTGGAGAAGTTTCAGTCAACTTAGCAGAGGGCTAAAACCACACCAAGGGTTCAATCTCTTCATCAGTCACGCAGATGAAGGGATTGAGTGCACCCTCAGCAAGTTTGAGGTGACACCAAGCTGAGTGGAGCAGCTGACACACCTGGAGGATGGGATGCCATCCAGAGGGACCTGGACATGCTCAAGAATCTCATGAGGTTTAACAAGACCAAGTGAAAGATGCTGCACCTGGGTCAGGGCAATCCCCGGAATCAATCCAGGCTGGGGGATGAACACATCTCAGCCCTGCTGAGACCTGTGGGTGCTGCTGGAAGAGAGGCTGGGCATGACCCAGCCATGGGCACTTGCAGCCCAGAAAGCCAAACCTGTCCTGGGCTGCATCTAAAGCCCCGTGCACAGCAGGGTGAGGATTCTGCCACTCTGCTCTCCTCTGCTGAGACCCCACCTGCACTGCTGCACCCAGCTCTGGGGTCCTCAGCACAGGAAGGACATGGCCCTGTTGAAATGAGTCCAGAGGAGGCCACAAAGATGTTCAGAGGAATGGAGCACCTCTCCTATGAGGAAAGGCTGAGACAAGTGGTGCTCTGCAGCCTGGAGAAGGGTCTGGGGAGATCTCATTGCAGCTTTTCCATACATAAAGGAGGATACAAGAGAGCTGGAGAGGCACTTTTTACAAGGGCCTGGATTCACAGGGCAAGGGAGAATGGATTCAAACTTAAAGAGCGCAGATTTAGACTAGATATTAGGAAGAAATTCTGCTGTGAGAATGGTGAGACACTAGAACAGGATGCCCAGAGAGATCTACTGGAAGGTGTTCGTGCCTGTGGTAGTGGGGTTGGAACTAGATGATCTTTAATGTCCCTTCCAATCCAAACCATTCTAAGATTCATGACAGGTTCCCTAATCAGTATCTTAAAGCTTTAAAATTCATCTGAAAGTAGCAGATTCATGGTGAATCATCATTCAATTGTGAATTATTTAAGGTTTTGGCACTATTTAAGACTCCAGCAAGAAAACACAGGAACACATTAAGAAAAGAGGCAGCAAAGTATGTCTAAGAGACTCCTGGTTTTATACTACATCCATTATAGAACACATTTACAGAAAGCTACAGAAAAATTAAGCCTCACATTTTAAGAGAAGATGGGGAAGAGCACATCATGTATGTCTGAAATGTAAACTATTTCAAGTGAAAGAAACTACAGGAGGATCTTTGCCCTCGTCTAGATGCCCAAAGCACAGAGCACCAGTGCTTGAGAAAGCAAAGTGAAGTGTTGTCACTGTCAAATGAAAGCACAACAGAAGGAGCTGGATGAGGCAGAAACAACACTGCCAGTTTTCACAGCAAAGATCTTCCTTGCAGGCTTCTACAAAGGATATGATCTGACTAAACATTCTTCAGCACATATAAACAACCTTGTCAGTTTTTCTCCTTCTCATCTAAGCACACTGAACACAAGGCTATGGCTTGTTGATGCCTGCAACAAACACTTGGCTTCAAAAAGAGAAAATCTCCTAGTTTTAAGTTAAATATTTATTACCTAGATTTCTTTACTAAAATATATGGAATTACTATTATTGACAATTTCTCAGCATAAATGTATTTGAGATTTCTAACTATCCATCTCTGAACTGGAAATCACTATAATGTTAATCAAGAAATATTAAATTACTTAAGAAAATGGCTAATTCCATGGCTCTAAAAGCAACAATCTTGGTATCTAATTTGATACCAAGAAACTTTCAAATTGGACATCAGAAAGGAAGCTTCCATCTCACGAGCACTGCAGGTCTCAACTCAAAGGCACTTCAAGCACAAATTGGTGAGGATTATGATGGAAAACTACCTCTTAAAGTTTGATTTTACACTGTGTTCCTTATAATTTTAAATTCAAACAAATCAGTGAACAAAGAAAAGGATCCAAAGTTAAGAGTTTAAATACGGAGATTTATATCTATTCTTAATAGAAATACAATAAGAATTCTTAAAAAATATAATATGAATTTTATTGCATGTATCATACCATAATCATTTGGAGACATAAGAATAAATACAACAAAACATCTATGATACTGAAGGTGGGAGATAAATATCTGAATAAAATTGTCTGTCAAAGTGACATACATCATCTTGGAGATTACCAAACCATTTGATTTCAAATTCCATGACTGAAGCAGTTATCAGTGATGACAATGCTGAAGAGCCTATGCATTTTACCTCACCCTGAAACTCCTCTTTTAGTTTTTCTGGTATAAGATCCTGCCCCATAGCCTGCAAAAAGAATAATAAAGAAAGGAATCAAGAAAATAATTTGCAGGAAAAAAACCAAACAGTAAACATGGCATTAATAACAGTCTTTGCAGGCAAAGCCCTTGTCACATGATCCACACACCATCCTGGAGAAGTTTCAAAGCCATGATGAAATTGCCTACCTTGGCATTCTGCATTCAGGGAGAGCTGAGACCAAAGCTCAGTGCTGCACAACCCCTCCAGTTTCTGGCTGCACTTGCACAGGGGGTTTCACTCTGAATAGCAGCAGAAATCTCAATGCCAGCTCTGCATTCAGTACTCACCTTGCATCAGAATCAACACTGAATTCCTGGGGCATGTGCAGGCAAGGGAAACAAAGAGAGAAGTTTCTTTTCCCAGCCTTTCTCAACACTGAGGTAGCCTGTGTGCTACTGCCCTCTCATGGATGCCTTTACTGCGACTGCCTACAGCCCAGCAGTGGCTTGGCTGTCACTAACTTAAAGCTGTAATGCTGACAACAAAGTTAGAATCTTGCTGGCTTCATTTTACATATCCTAATATTCATTATGATAAAAGTCAGAAGCTCTTTAAATAGCACTAAAAATGTTTAATCTCTATGAAGAGATTAAATGCAATATTGCTCTCCGCTATTATTTTTTTAAAACTAGAACCCAGTACATTAAACAAAACAAAGAAATGCAAAAGAAAGTCTCTGGCTTTTTCCGGAAATATTTAGTACTTTTTATGCAACTGTTTAATACTGCTGTGGCCATCAAAGTAATTTTCACTTCTATTTCAAACTAATGATTCACTTTGGGGCATCTAAAATTCCTGAGATAAAATGTGTACCCCAGGAAATGCACAGTGCTGATGCATCTGCAAATACAAGTCCAGTGAGAAACTTAACAACAGTGCACATTCCTGAAAGCAGAATCTCAGCAGATCAGAGATCCACCTGTGTGACACAGGCCAGGGCTGTACAGGCACCTCTGTCACTTCCAGACTGCACGCTGCCAGCAGCCCGCCCCAGCTAATTCCCCGTGCTTCCTGGCACAGTTAATTAGCTCAGGGGAGTGTCACGCTTTGAGGACAACCAGCCCACTCTTGAGAACTGAGACCCTGCACACAATGAAGCATCCTCTTACTTTGGTCATCAACAGCAAGGAGTTTTCATCGAAACCAAGAAGAGCCACTTTGTCATCAATTTCTTTTTGATCTTTTCTGTTATTTTCTAGCACAAAGGACAACTGTTGTGACTCGGTAAGCTGAAGTAAAAGCCTGGAATGAGAAAGACAGTTAAAAATTGGCACAGCTGGAAAAAGAGTAAGTCACCAGACCTAAAAACAACCAAAATGTTTAATACTTTAATTAACACTTTTAATACTTTAAATCAGCCCTTCTTGACTTTTGCCTATTGCGAAGACGTCAATATATCTGTTTCCATCTACCATGGATATTGTTTATCTGTGCTATAGAACTACTGAGAAGTATTTTTGAAAACCAATATGCCAACAGCTCTGGTTGCTCTATGCAAACATTTTTGTCCCCATATATTCATCACACCATTCAAAAGTGAGGCTTGGACCTGTGAGTCATCACGTCTCTCTGTCCTTACTACAGCCTAACAAAGACAGCAGCACATTGTTGCCTATGGAACCTAAAGAGGTACAAATGTGAGAGTTTGGACAAATATCAAAATCCTTCCCACACAGGCCAATCCTGGATTATTTTCTAAAAGCATTCACCAGTTTTATGCTCCAGGCAGTGCCCCAGAAGTCACAATCATGAATGGTGAAGGTTACACTCTGCTCATGATAGAGGTTGATGTCATGCAGGGCCCCATCACCAACTGCTCAACCAACAAGAACAGTGGCAGTTTCCAGAGTCCCCTTTATACAAGGACTGTAAAAGAGGTCAGCCGAGAAAATATGCAGGTGTCTATAAATTTGTCTCAAATCCACTGTCAGATTAACAGTATTATGCTTATTTTACACTTCTAGGAACATAGAGACATATAATCTCCTGTAAACTCACTGAAATTCACAATAGGCGTTATTGCAAAGATAATTATCACTTTTAGAGAATACACTAGAGTCTAGAGAAGGGCCACAAAGGTGATCAAAGGCCTGGGAAGCCTTGCCATTTGGGAACAGGCTGAGAGAACTGGATTTGTCCAAACTTGAGACAAGAAGGCTTAGGGGAGACCTCGTCACCATGTTTCAGTATTTAAAGAGTGGCTGCAAAGAAGATGGAGACTCTCTTTATACAGGGAACCACATGGAAAAGATGAAGGACAATAGGTATAATGTTAATTCTGGGGAGATTCCAACTGGACACAAGAGGAAAGTATTTCACAATGAGATCAGTCATTGGAATAATCTCCTCAAGAAAGCTGTGGATTTCCCAGTGTTGGACATTTTTTAGATTCAGCTAGACTGGGTGCTGGGCCATCTTGCCTAGATCATGTTTTTGCCAAGAAAGGATGACCCTTGTGGTCCCTTCCAATCTGGAATTCTATCATTCTACAATATCTAACCAAGGCATCATTAGAACTTAGCAGTGTTGTTACTGAAAATGTGTTTAATTCAAACTTTATGCAAAAAGAAAAACAACAAGATTTTTTATCCCATTTACTGAAGTGAAGCTGGCGTTATAATAATGGTGTGCATATTTAAGGAAAAGACAAGATCTGAGATGAAAACTTTCATTTGAATATTATAGACATCAACATTTTAAAACTTCACTGAATTTACAGATGATTTGTTGGTTCCAAGTAAAAATGGAAAGTATTTTCAATTTATAAAGTATTTTTGTTTCAAAATTTGCATCAACATGGTATAAAAAAGAATGAAATTTCAATTAAAATTAAATAAAAAAACTCCACTTTTCCCCCAAAACTATGAGAGTCAATTATTCATGATGCATTACCAGAGACCCTTATTTCCTACAAAAAGCAACACTAATATCCCTTTTTTCCAGGTGTAACTTATCCTGCACATACACTTATACAACATCTACATCCCACTTAGAATCCAACAGACCTGAAAATATTAGACAACCTGCATAAGCCTTGGGCAGGGGAGAAGCTTATCTGGGACAAGTGTATCTGCAAATGTAAACCACAGTAATACTCTGTGAAACTGTGCAGCCAAGCAAAGAAATGTTACCATTTACAACAGTCTCAGTTCTGAACATACACACTGAAACGAGCAACACAAATTATTAATATAAACGTACCTTCAATATTCAGTATCAGTACTAAATCAATGAACTTATTCAATTAAAGTCTTCATCTCTTAGTCTGAGTACAATTAAGAGCAACTATTTGGGATTTTTTCATTTCTTAAATCTTGCCCCAGCAGGGCAGTTATAAAGTGTTCTCTGTAAACATTTCTGGACATTCATAAGATGACTTTAAAAACATTCCATGACTGATACATTACTGAGAGGCAAGAGGGGGAAAAACCATCCAAGATTATTTTAACAAAACCAGTTCCTAATTATCTCTTTGAAAATTTATGTTTTGGGGATTTCTGCTGTATGCAAGAGTTTTAGGAAGAGGGAAAAGAAAAGGAAAGAACATTTTTAATGAGCCCTGTCAATCAGTTGTCACGGAGTTCATTTTCCAGCCTCATCCATTATGCAGATTGGGGTATTATTATAAAATACATTTTCACTCAAGCATGAGGCTTCAAGCAAATAAGACAGGTGGCACTCACAGAAGGAAGACTGGCTATGCCTTCCCTTTGGGGCACTTCTGCTACTATATCTTTAATACCAGACCAGCGAACAGCAATGGTCTAGCAGGAGCATTTGTTGAAGAACAGACCCTTTTGTACACAATTACTTGAAAAGATTCACATTATAAGCTCATTAAAAAATTCATTACTTCTTAACTGTGTGTGACACTAGTATACTCTTTCCACTCAGACTCTTCACAGCCACCACACTAAGTAGATTTGGCTTTTTAGATCTGAAGTAACAGGAGGGTGCTTCTAAGTTAGTGTTGCCAACTCTGAAACAAGCATTTAAATTGAAAATGCAAGCTGAAAACAACTGGGAAAAATATGCTTTACATTGTTCTTGACAGAGAGAACTTAATATTATTCTAAGAATACTTAGAATTACCTTGCTCTGATAAACGAGGCACATGCTTTTATCCCAACTTTCTTTAAAATGTTCTGCTTCCAGGACGTGGAGTCTGCGCTTTTCTCTTTGTCTGTCCGTTCCAGTTCTCCTGAAGTGTAGAGGAATTCTTTCACCACTTGGGTGCTGGGACAAGTCACTGCATTCTCCCCATTTGTTTCTGCAACAAGGCTGAAACAAGGGCTTTCTTTCTGGCCATCTGATCTGTGAGACTGCAAATTAATCTCTATTCCAGTCGATGTTTTGAAACTGCTGTTACTTACACAAACCTCTTCAGACTGATTTAGATTTGCTTCTGGAATGACCAATGAAGACAAATTCTGTAAAAGGCTCATATAAGCTTCAGCAAGTAACTTCCAGAACCAAGGATTGAAAGGATGTAAACAGATCAGTTGCTGCAGACACATAATCTTTTTTTCTACATTTTCCAGACCCTGGTAAATGGAAAACTGCAGGTTGAGAACCGTTGTTAAGTGATCCGTGTTAGTAGCGCTGTTTCTCTAGAAACGAAAGATAATAGATCAAAAACAGGACTAGAACAGAATCATCCTTCAGAGCCTAAGAAAATGTCTCCCTAAATAATGACATACAAATATCACAAGGTAATTTTTGTACTGTACAAAATGGTGCTCTTAATTTAAAATGATACAATGGGATACAGATCTTGCATAATCAAGCTGACAGCATTCCCTCTAGCTGCCCTGTCACAGTCTGAGAGGCAAAAAGATCCGAAATGCTGTCATTTGTTTATTTGCATTCAGAGTGTTCTACAGCTGCCCTTCTTTGCAGCATAAATACCTTTTATATAAAATAAAAAGAATCAATAATATTCTAGCAGACTTCAGAGTCTCTGGACTTTTTCCTTTATGGGAAAAACTCAATTTGTGGCTAGATACTCTTCTTGGTGGCAGTTTGGCAGCAAGTATATGGAAAAGAAAGGGAGTTTTGAACTGTCACTTGTATAGTGGAAAGATTTAAACACTCATTTATTCCCTTTCTTATAATTCCTATTACATTGCATTAATTCTGCCTGGCAGAGCATGATATTTAGTCCCTTCCAGGACTACCAGTTTCCCTGCACAGGGAGCTCATTGTGGTACAGGGTGTTCCAGTTTCTAAAGAGTGATTATATCTGCAGTGACAGTTACCCTCTGTTTACCAAATACTCTGAGCACTGAACATCCTGAAGGATTATACACATGAAAATTATTTTTCCAGAAAATGGTCTGTATAAAAGAACTAGTGGCAATATTTTCCTGTTCAAAGCCTAAAAGAAAGACTTCATTATTTACCATTTTTTCTGCAATATCCAGAGCCTCCTTGTGCCTTCCTAGGCGAGATAAACACCGAGCCTGGCCCTCCTGCACATCACGTCTCATTGCAATGTTGCTGGCAGGTAAGAGTAGCAGGCAATCTGAATATTCACACAAGGCTTTCTAGGAGTGTGGACAGGAAGAAAAGCCAACAGGGAGAGATTTGCATTTAAAAGCAAGCCTGACAGCACATTTTTTTTATGATTACAGTGACAAAGGGAATTCAGAACCTGAAGTCCGTATTTGCATTTCTCCAGACTCAACTACTACCTGTGTGAGCAAGAGACAAGGCCTCAGTACTACACAGCAAGTCTAGACGGTGATGAGCAGCCTCAATTCTAACTCATGTTTAGGCCCAAGCAGGATTCACCACACATCTGTCCACCTCTCTCCCACCATGCCTGATCCAGAAGAGATCATCTACTGACCTGGGTAATATGTGACACAAGGCACCATTAATCTGAGTGCTCACCCTAAATCTGTGGGACTTTGTTTTCAAACCATGACATTCTCCATGAGAAGGTTTGAACCTGCGAGTACTTCACCTCAAATAGTCAGTAAGTCAGAGAATACCACAAGGAAGGTGAATCTCCATTGTTCCTGTAGGCTGGTTTTAATGTACTTGAAATAAATATTAATTGGGCTAAGGAAAAAGGCAAGAATGAGCAATACTTCTGCAGCTTAATGCTCAGGGCACTCACCAGGACTCCAATTAACATTTAAATACATTAAATTAAGTATTCAGTGAAGCTAGGTCTAGAATTTTGATTTCTCTCCCTTTGTGTAAGTGCTCAGAGTGAAGACTAAAGAACAGTGCTCATTCTCCCATCTCTCAAAATGCATATTTAATTATTCCTTGCAAACTTTAATGGTTCTAACAGCAAGAGCTTCTAAATACCCTAAATACTTCCTAGCAAAACGGCTGAAATATTTCTCTTTCCTGAAGCTGAGTTCACATTCATTCTTAAGCAAAAGACAGAGCTCCCCTTTGCCCAGTGCATGCAGCAGCCACTGGTGAAAATGGATCAGAGGGTTGAGGACAACCCTGTTTGCCTTGTTATGCGACAAAGGGACATAATCTGGCAAGGTTCAGGCATTATGAATCCCAAGCACATTCTACAGCCATCTATAGCCTAAAAACAGGCACAGTTTATATCACTGCTGTCCTTGACATTTCCTATCAAGTGACCTATCCTGAAGTAAAAAAACTGACAATGAGAAAAGAGATTACTGTCCCTATTTACATATTTCCAGCCCCCTTTCTAAGGTCAATGCTTCCACATCAGTAATTTTATGTGCAATCAAGCTCTGGTTCTTGTTCCACCAGTGATCTAGGTTAGCAATAAAACTGAAAACAGTTCTAATATTAATCACTGCAACAGAAAAGAGTTAGGAAGTAATGGATTGTTCTACTTAGCAGATCTGAGAAGGTGTTTTTCTCTCCTGATTGGGAACCACAACAAGGAGAAATCTGCTTTTCCTGGGGGTCAGCAGCTACATCTGACCACAGCCTGAGGCAGCTCTGCTATCAGCACCCTTTTATGAATCCCTTCAGGGTATCTCAGCTGAGACAGGGCTGCAGTGGTGCTGAAATAACATTAGGATCAGTGCAAACTGAGGTACAAAAAGATCTACAAATCCAACGGGCAAGGCAAAGGAGTAGAGTCAGCAGTCATCTGGAGTGCTTTGAAACCACCTAAGTTGTAATGCAAACCATAAGCTGGAAGAAGAAGCTACACCAGAAACAAGGCCTAGAGATGCTGATTTCAATAAGGAAACAAGGTAATTAAAGACTAGATCCTGCAACTAGGACTGCAAAAGGCAGGAGAGCATCGCTGATGAGGAATGCGGCTCAGGGCGTACAGAGTGAGGAAAGGTCTGGGACCACCGCGGGCAGGAGCAAACACGGGCAAAGGTACAAGGCAAAGGCCTTCTGGAGCAAGCGGAGGCGGCAGAGACCTGGCACAAGTCATGCAGAGACATCTCCGCGACTGCAGGAGCCTGACAGCCACTGCAGCTTTCATCGGACAGCGGGGGGAGCTCTGAGAAAGGTGACTCGCAGCCGCGTGGTGCCAGCGATCTGACAGTCTTTGTGGGACACAGCATTACCCCAGGCGCTGAGAAACCCACACGCTAAACTCTGACCATGACTTTCCCGGCGACAGAAACCCGCTCTGCTCACGGCCGAACTGCTGCGATGTGCCCGCCTGCCTGGATCAGTTCCGGGGCAGCGCCGCGTTCCTGCCCGGTTTGCTCCGGGCTGACTCCCGGATGGATCGTGGCAGAACACCGATCTGCACCGCGGCCCGGCTCAGCCCGGGGCTACCACGCGTTCAGCACGAACCAGGAGCGGGATTAACCGCGGCACGTGTGTTTCATGCATAATGTACCGGACCCGCAGGCCGTGGTACATCACATACGTTCACTCTGGCTCAGAATACTGGGGACTGCAGGATCGACCCAGTCCGTGTCCCCACAACTTCCCCGGCCCGAGCGAGCGCCCTGCAAATACCTCGAAGTCCCGCTGCCGGAACGCCCAGTCCGCCCGGAACTTGCTGCCCGTGACCCCGCCGGCGCCTTCCCCGCCGTCATCCGCGCTGTGGAACCACTACGGGGACACAGAGCACACAACAGAGCGCACACACAGCCGTCAGCAGCGCTCTGGAACCACTGCGGGCACACAGAGTCCACAAAGAGCCCACACAGAGCCCACACAGCCGTCACGGGCCGCGGAACCACTGCGGAGACACAGAGCCCACACAGAGCCGTGACCGGCCGCGGAACCACTGCGGCCACACAGAGCACACACAGAGCCGTGACAGACCAAGGAACCACTGAGGGCACACAGAACATACACAGAGCCGTCAGGGGCCGCGGAAGCACTGCGGGCACACAAAGCGCACACAGAGCCGTCACGGCCCGCCCCGCCCCGCCGGCCGCCCCAGCTCCTCACGCGGGGCTCGCAGTGCCTGGCGCCGCTCGCAGCCCCGTCCCCGCCGCGCTCCCGCCGCTCCCGGCTCGGCGCGAACAGGGAATCCTCGAACTCCGGACCCAGCGCCGGCTCCATCGCCGCCGCCGCTCCCGCCGGCCCCCGCGCGGGGGAGGAGTTCGGTTACCGCGCACCGCAAGGGAAGTGATTCCAGTAAAGAGCTGAACGAGGGTCCCGCGCCTTGATAAATTAACTGCGTAATTGTGGAGGTGCTCTGTTAGCATCCCGTCCTTGTGACTTTGCATCGGGTGATGGGAATGTGTTTTGGTAACTTTTCCATTTGGTTTCACTTCTGTCTCAAAGCAGAAAATGTATAACCTGCTCTAGGTAACCCTGCCTTGGCAGTGAGTTGGAGTAGATGATCTCCAGACCATTCCAACCCTAAAAATTCTGTGATTCTGTGAAATTTCAGTCTTTCCACGACAGGCTTTCCCAGAGCACCCTACACTGTGCTATGGGGAACGGGGACACAACTGATCCTAGACCTCCTTCAGGATGTCAAGACTGAGGCACCCCGCTGCTCGGAGAGCTCTGCATGCCCCGGCTGCCTGCCCTGCCTCCTGGTACTACTGTGCACAGTGTGCTTTGTTCTAAGGGTACTGCTCTGCTGTTTCCTCTCTCCAGTCCGACCACCCTGGAAGGTCCATTTTGTCCCATCTAATCACCACACAGGTTTGGGGAAGGTGAGATGAAAAGTCATTCCTTAGCCTGCATAATGGATTAATGAACTTGTCTATACCAGAACACCTTTTGAGGCCAAAGCACTGCTTGTACAGGTGATTTTAAAGGTTTCCTTCTAGTAGACATGTAAAAGATGTGGTTTGCTTTTGTTAGGGTTTTTTCTTCTTATGTGTTTAAAATACTCTTCTATACCAGCAGAGCTGTGACTGGATGCAGCACGACCTGGCATAAATGCTAGGATAGAAACTCAACTTTGGTAGTTGAAATTGATCAGAAAAATAAAAGCAGATTGATGTTTCTTTTGCTTGTAAACTTGCTGTTTGGCCAACAAGCCCTCCAGCACAGAGGAAACTTTGGCATTCAAGTCTTGAGAGAACCAGGAGTTTGCTTGACGTGCTTCAGTCTTTCTGTTAAAAGTATCAAGGTAGGTGAGGTCAGTCACTTGTATATGCACATCAAAGCTCCCTGACTTCCTCCTGCCTGCAGACCAGGGCAGACAAAGCACACGGGGGTCAGACTGTGGAGGTTGGCACAAGTGTCTGCAAAGTTTCAGCACCTGTAGTGCTCCTCACATACACTGGACACACACGTTCCCTTTCCCCTTACTCCAGGACTGCAGGTCACACTGCAACACTCTGGTCTGATGAACAAGGCACAAAAATCCAGAAAGACAAATAAGCACAAATCAAAAAGAAGAAAATCCAAAAAAAGAAACACGAGTAATCAAAGTGAAATATGGCCACAGCTCAAAGGAAAACACAAAAAGCAAGGCATTCCCGGGGCAAATCCCACAGTAGCTGGTTGGCTGCCAGCTTGGATTGCAGAGTCCTCCAGGGCTGGGGGTTTCGACCATAGTTTCTTCTGAGGATACCAACATGGTCTACAAAAGGCTCTGTGTTGCAATGCAGAGAATGCCTTTGTCTGGTAAATCAGTGATACCAGAGCCATGATTCCCGAGTGCCACACAGGGGGCCTAACAGCTGACTGTATGGTTTCAGTTGTAAGTCATGGGCAGAGTATTGCTTCTCTTCATTTCTTCTTTGCCTGGCTCTCTCCTGCCCCTGCCTCCCCTCAAGACATTTAAAAAATTCCTCATATATTAGTTACAGAAATGAAAAAAATGCAACTTTAAGAATTAATCCCTCTGCCTTGTCAGCACTGGAGGTTTGCTCAATTTCTCCCCTAAGATCCAAGTAACCAGTGTAGCTGCCAGAATACAATTCTCACTGTACTTAAGTAAAGCTGTTTGCCCGACTTTGCATGGCATAATTTGCCTTGATGCTGTTAGTCTTGGCTTCACAGAGGAGAAAACATAATTTCTAGAAGTGGCAACTTTGAGGGGGGTCAGAGATACATGAGCCCTGCAAAGCCAGTGCTGCTGCAGTTGCTCTGTAGGCAGCTTCAGGGATAAAAAGAACCCATAGATTAATCTCTCCTTAAAGGCAGCCAAGGTTCTACTTCACTGCCAGCCACCAGCTTGGCACATGAACACTGGACCAATAAAAATGGGCTCCAGTAAGTTGTGGCCTCCAAGCGAGTTCCTGCCATCAGCAAAGCCATTGTGGCTGCTCACACGAGCATGCCTCGTTAGGCAGCAGTGAGGGGCTGTGACCCAGCTTCACCCTGGGTGAGCAGGGGCAGGCAAGGGGGAATTGGCCAGTTGAGCTTCATCTTGCAGTCAGGGTGAGCCCAGAGACAGCCCAGGTTGTGAACACAACTTCAGCAATAGGCAGGGTTTTTCCACACTGTCCTATTGCTTGAATCTTCTGGCCAGGAGAAGAAAATGCAGCATGGAAGACAGAGTTTGTCTAATGCCCTTCTCCCCATTTCCCTGTCTACTCTGAGGCAAAATTAATTCAGAAGAATCCTCCTCCAGTGTTTCTTTAATTACTGATGTTGTTATTTGTATTGTGATAGCCTCCATGGGTCCTAGCCACAGTCCAGCCACTCTTATGCCAGCATACAGATACACCACAAAGGCTTCAGAGACCATCAAGCACACACAGCAGAAACAAGAAACCTCAGTCCGCAATTAGGGCCCTATCTTGGTAGGCACTACCCACACACATTGGCCAGGAATAATGCAGCTCACATGGTTTTATTAAAATATACTGGAAAGCAGCTGCCTTTGGAAAAAAGCAGGATAGAGAGTAGTTCTCTCCTCAAAGCAAGAGAGCTGCCTGTAGTGAAGAGGCTAAGTAAGGCCCATGGGCAGCATTCCTCCTCCTCAGGGTGGCTCCTGAATTGTAATCCTGAATTGGATTCTTCCAGACACTGTGAAATATTCATACCTTGAAGAAGATTAGTTTTCTTGTTGGATAGTCATAACACACCCTCTTCCCTAAACACACTCATGAAAGGAGAAGAAAAGCAGCTCTTTATTTGCTGACATTGTCTCATTGTGTCCTTGTCTCTTACTTTTTATTTAGATTAAAAGTTCTTTACAGCAGAAACCATCTTTCATCTTCTTTGCATGGTGCCACACAAAAGGGGATATTGTCCATGACTACTGGGAGGGTAGTAAAAAGATTTCATGGTTTGGAGCAGACAGAGGTTATCACTACTACAAACTGCAAACAAAAAAAGTTCTGATGAGCTTAGATGAACTCTAGCATAATTTAAAATGATGACAGTAAGTTCTAGTTAGACACAACAAAAATTGAGTAGGGAGGTGAGGGGTGCCTGGTGGAAATCAGAGTGAACTGTTTGTTTTTAACAGAAGTCAAAAGCGTCTTAGGGGTCCTTAGGACAGAGAGGAGAAGATGCATCCCCCAAAAGATGGTTCATTTACCTGCTCTACCTTAAGACAGTGCAAGCTTTCAAGCCCCTGGCAAACAATATCAACTAGACCATAATCCATCCCCCTCAGGCCTCACAAAACCCAATAAAGCTGTTATTGCCAAAAGGATGCACTGCACACAGATGCGTTCAGCTATTAATGGGTTTTGCAACTATTTTCTGTCTAGTAGGATAAATGATGAGCAGAATGAGTATGACCTTGGGTTTGACCAGAAAGCTGTTGAAAAGAAAAGAGGAAAAAAGCTTTCTGGAAAGACAGAAAGAAAAAAGTTATCAAGTGCTAGAAAGAATCCTAAAGCAGTGATCTTCCGAGGCAAGCTTACACATTTCCAGTACTGATGTGATCCTGTGTCTGAATTGTTTCACTCAGCCATGTAGTACAAGCATTGAGGTTGTACCTTGATGGTTTGCAGAATACAAAAGTCATGGCTAAGAGTGGTAGCTCCAATATGCTCTAACTGGAAAAACAACCAACAGAGTCCCAAGGTTGGGCATGGTGAGGTTTGTATGCCTCCTTCTACACCCTTTTTTCATTTGTATCAGTTTTTCTGCAAACTGATTAATTTGCCCTGGCCACTGTTGCTTTATTTCTACTTGTGATGAAACCAGGCCACAGAGACCACAGTGAATTCATTACTTCTCTACGTTAAAACTTTCCTACTGCAGTTTTAAGGACTGGGCAGGACCAAGCAACACTGGTGGCAACTCCTCTAGGACACCATTTAAGACCTTTTTATAACAACATTGAATAAACTGAGCTGACTTACTACAATATTGCTGTCCAGCAGAAACAAAGAGAAACAAATCAAAAGAATTAAGAGAAAAATAAGCTACGCTGAAGAAATACACCCAGAGCTTCAGGCCTGCCCTCATAACTCACAGTTTTTTTCAGGCCTTGCTCTGTTTTTCCATATGGAGGCTGCCTCCACATGGGAAACAACCAAACTTTTGATTCTGCAGTGCCTCATTTCCCATACAGCTTTTGCACTGCTGGAGAGGACTAGTGGAAACTGTTATTAAATTTAGCTTCTATGTCTTCTTATTGCTTTACACGAGTAGCAGTGCCTGAAGGAAGTGTGAGTCACAGCAGAGGGAAAGCACTGCTCAATGAGCACATGCAAACAAAACACAGAAATCCATGATGGACTTTGCCTTTGTTCCCTTCCCCCAAAAATTGCATGTGAAATGCATTTAGAGCAAAGGAAACTGTAAAACATACATCAATTATGCAGTTTTTGTGGTATCTTTAGGAAAAATGATGATCCCCTTCCATAACAGCGCATCTGTGGGGCTCCATTTCTGCATGTTGTGGGTGCCAGGTGTGATACTTGCACAGAAATTCTTGCAGCTGGAATTAAATTAATCTGGAGGCTCTGGCCAGCTGCTGGAAACTCCAGAACCGAGAGCAGTTACAATTGCAATACTACTTGTACCATCTCTGGTTCAGAACACGTCATTATTACAGACTATTTTGTGGGCTCTCTTCCTTGTTAGTCCCTTAAGACATGCTTTACTGAAGTTACGTTTTTTTCCCTTTGGCTCTCATTTAGGAAAACTGAAGTTCACTAAGAGAATTACTGCCAACACTGACCTTTATTTTCACCCAAAGACACAAATCAACTAGGTGTGACACACACTTTCTTTCCCTTTTTCCATCTTTTCTTTCTTCTACCAAATATTTTAAGGTAATGAAGATCAACTCAGCACTGAACCTGTAAAGAAACACACATGGGAGAAAAATTAGTCGCAATGCTAGTAGTTCAATATTGTAGCAGTAGCAACATATATTAAAATATTTCATTTTACAGTTTTGAAGTGCAACAAGTCATTCAACCAACAAAAATGTTGGAAACCACCATCTATCTGAGACTAGGGACCTCCACCAGCAATATTCTAAAGCAACACCAAACCCACAAGGAACAATTTATAGAGGGGACTTTATAGTATACAAAGGAAAAAAAGGCAGTACACAAAGTGGCTTGGTATTTTAAATTTGCAAAAATAGTAGTTGATAGTATTGTTATGAAAACAAATGCAAGCTGAAAGATGCTGGGAAGAAGGGGCTGGGAAAGGGGAAATAACCTACAAGGCCAGCTGATCTCTTGTAAAAATACCTACTGAATTGCAGTATTTTGGAGTTGTTGGTAACACTGTGAACAAAAAAGATACCTTTAAAAAAAAGGTGACCGCATGCATGATCCAGTGCTTCTTGTAACTCCCTCATTAGCTGATGGATTCTTGAAAAGCATTCTCTTTTTTTACCTAACCAAGTAAAACTACTTGGCCAAACACCCAGCTGTGTTGACAATTCATGCTCATCTCCAGTCCTGTGCTTAGGTCACTACTTCAGCTAGAGATGTCATTTTTCAGACTAACATTAGCTAAAGCACAGGAACGACTCTCTTGCTTTAAACATCTTTTTCTTTGCTGGGGATACATGTGTAAGCACAATGCCAGCTCCTGCAGGAATATCGTAAGACTCAGGTTCCTCCAGTTGCAGCTCAACAGCTGGAATAGACGGGTGTGATGAGTCACACCAAAGCACGACAGTGGCACTGTCGCGGGCAGGGAGCAGCTGTGAGTGATGGCAGGTTGGGCTCACGGGAGAAGGACAGAGCTCCACACCAGCTCTTTCCTTAGACCCTTCTCATCTCAGGGAAAGACACGTGTTAAAACAACCTGTCCAACTGACAGTGACTTCAGTAAGGAGGTGCTTCCTACTCTTCCCACCCTGAATATTTTAAATGCCGTAATAAAAAGCATCTGCCATAATGGGAACAATCACGTGAACGTCCCTGGGCTGCTGACATGGCAGAGCAGCTCAGCAGCAGCAGCTGTACTGATTCACACGTGAAGCTGACCTCACACTGGCTGTTCTGCCAACTCTTTTCTCCAAATTCAGTGCATCTGAGGAATGGTGAAATTCCATTTCGTGTAACAGGGAAAATGATATTTGAGAAGATCTGGTTTGTGACATTTTCATACAGACGTGATTCCCGATTTCTACACCACCTCTTAAAACCACACACACTCAGTAAGGAGACATTTATTCCATTATTTCTGTTTTCAAATTTTTGGTACAAAGTTTATTTTCAGAAGTTCTCACATGATCCTTTCTTCTACCAGCGTCTTTAGGATTTTTCTATCTCTGATTTATTTTCTTTATCTGTTGAAGCAAAAGCAGTAATTGCTACAGAAAGAAATAATGGCAATATTACAAATATTTTACAGCAGCATCCATTCGTTTCTTTGCCTCAAAAAAATAACAAAAATAAATCCAAAGACAAGGTCCATACAGCCACAAAGGCTTAGGTTTGTAATATCCAGAAGTATGCTGCGTTCCCATATACGAGTTGTACAAGTCCAGCACAACTTTCCAAGTTTGTGCAGAGCCTGATAAATAAGACACAGAAATATCAGTTACATTATACTGTTTCTAAGAACTTTTACTCTGTAAAATGTTTGGTCACTCAAAGCTATAAGCTTAATCACATATCAAAGAACACAGGCAATAAAGCCCATCTTACTAAAACATATAGTATTAGGCCAAACAAAATATAAGAGGACAAAATCTAGTGGTCACTGAAGCCTCTTCAGAAAAGGTCTAAAACAGAATGTTTCCATCATGTATCAGAATAAAAACCTACTGTATTAAAATTTGATTTTACAAGCTGTCTTTTAATCAGTCTTCTATTTACAGTGCAGAACTGCCAACTGCAGTAGTTTTAACTTTGGCACAACACTAAGTTCCAATCCTTTTGAGTATTCAAGTCCTGTGTGTGTCCAAAAATTTTCTTGGTTTCACGAAAGATTAGGCCCATTCACAGTTAACCAGTTATCTTGAAATTTTTCAAGAATTGCTTCCCCTTCACCACACTGGGCAGCTACAAAGGAAAGACATTGTAAGCTATTGCATCATTCAAAAGAAACTCTTCATTCTGAACAGTGACAGTATTGTTGCTTCCTTTAATATCACGTACACCAGACAGATCACACAGACGGCTACATACTGGACACCTTTCTAAAAACCTTGCTGGTCGTTAGTGAATCATCTTCTTCATACTCCAAATACATAACAATGCATTAACTTAATTTCATTTCACATGTCAAACAGGACATTTAAATATATTGCAATATATTATAGAAAATTGCAAAGCGCCATCATTTCTGTAAACGAGACTGACACCTGTTAACTCTCCTGTGCACATGAAGAGCAGTACCTAGTGCCACATTTTCTATACAATATAAAGCCTTCCCAGGTAGGGCAACTCATTTTAGTGCATTTCTGTACAGACTGTAAGCATACATGCAGATAGCCAACTATGCAGGGTTGGAAATACTTTTGTAAGCTGAAACTGGAAGATGGAACATTCTGAAATCACAGCGGAGCTCTTGTGGTTGATCATTTCATAGCATAGATGAGGACCTGACTCTTCTGTCATTCTAGCAGATTCTTTAGGGACAGTTTTATGATAGGTATCTAGTATTGAGTAAGTATAAGGAAATACTTTCATCAACTGGGACACAAATATTATGTGTCCTAACACATTCTAGGTTATGCACAGTCCAATGTTCACACAGTAACCTTATCTCTAAAATACTTGAGAAAACCCAAAGCATTTTTATGCCACAGTATTATAACCAAGAATCAGTTACTTTATCCACCACTGTAGTGCTGCTCTAAAGAAAAGAAAGAAAACCAAAGGCCTCATTTCCCAACAAGCATGAACTTGGAAGCAGAGGTCAGTACCATTTCTAACCACAACCACAACCTAAAGATCAGTGCTGCAATCCAGCCAGAAGATCTCTCCCTGTAATGTCAGATGTCTGCAGTGTCAGCAGCTGCCTGCAAGTCAGGTTAAGTCAATGGAGCTGGGGTGCAGTTCCTCTGAGTGACTCCAGGCATGCAGGATGAACAGGTTTGCATTCCCTGCTGTGCTGACTACCTACAGTGTCTTGCCCCAGTGCAGACATCAACATGCATCAGACAAATCCCACCTTAATTCATGAAAAGTGCTACAGGATGCTCAGTTATCCCTCTACATTTTATAATGTGTGAGTTGGTTTTGTTATGACTGTTCACTGAAAAGGTGCAGATGCTCTTCACTGCAGAAGGAGAAAAATCCCCAAGAACTCCAATCATTAAACTTGGAAATACTGGCTATAACCGACCTGTGCTTCAAAATATCCCTTTTTAGAAGTGGGGAAAAATGCAGAAATTCAAGTTATTGTGTGTTAGTAGCCATTAAGGGGATTTTTCACCTTCTGTTTAAATTCTTATTTCAAAATATATTCCTACAAAATTTTAATACATCAGCAAACCTCAAGTAACTTGACCTGGTAAGTTTGTGTCATGTTTCTTGGTAAATCTACTTATCTTAGGATATCTCAAGCTGGATGGAGAATACAGACGTAACCCAGCACTGTTCAGTGTAGGGAACTGAATCGTCTTCTAGCCCTTTCCATCTTTAAGTTACATCATCATCCAGGTATTATAAACAATTCTTAAAAGTTTTACTGTTCTCTGGTCATTGATACTATCTCTCTATTACTACTCAATGCAAGCAAAATTGTTTTCAAAGAAAAAATAAATTAAATAGCTATATTTCATTGCACTCTATTTTTGTGCCTTCAGGTTTGGGCAGGGATATTTAATACTACAGAAGCTTAAAGATTATCTTCTCTCCTTGGGAGATATGAATATAGACAGGTATTGGACTCAGGTGGAGGACGCAAATTGGTACTACCATATTTACAGAAGCAAATACTGACATCCAGCCTGAATACACAGTACTCCATTAAGTGCAAAAGGAAAAACGCTCCCCACCTTAAACCACAGCCTGGTTACTCAGCAGCCAGATATCAGTTGTCAGAGTTACTGCTGTGCTCTCATTTTAGAGGAAAACAGAGGAGGAGAATGTCTGCATCTTTGGGCTTTCTGGCCAATGGGGACCATGTACAGCCATGAATCACTCTGTATGGGATCCAGAAATCATTTCTTTAATCCGTAGAGGGGAAGGGAGTGCATTTGCCTGCCTCAAGCATTTCTTGGAGAGCAAAAGAAGATCTGCTTTTATTCAAGGTGAGCAAATCATCCATTAGAAAATTATTTCGTGTCATGTGTGGACATTGCATGAGTTTCCCAATAATCAAAGTTACAGTCAGTAACTTTTGAGTTATGAATTATAGTCCATAATGGAATGAAAAAGCAGTTTTCAGCATGGTACCAGATAAGGTTAAAAAAGGGCATGGCCTAATTTGCTATAGTGCATTAGAGATAATACACTAAATTCTAATAATCAGGTACTAAGTATCTTTCCTCTTCTTTGCTTTCAAAGGAAAAGATTTCTATGTGCTAAAAAGGAGTGACTGTAAAAATTTACTTTTTCTGTCAGAACAGAAGGAGTTAAACTTGTTTTGCTTATCAACTTCTAGAAAAGTAAATTCCACAAGGCAGGCAGAAGTCAGAGCCTTCAAAACTTCTGCGTTTTCCCTTCTGTTCACTTCATACAAGCCAGCACTGTTAGTTCATTCAAACCTCCAGGGGAATACAGGCCTGACTTATTTTTTTCCAACATTAACTCTGGGGTCATTGAGAGGTGATACTGGGAAGACAGCACTGTTTAAGATGGAACTGTGCTCTTTCAATGCACTCGGAAGTGAGGATGAAACATGCCATGAAGCAGGACAATACTGTGAAGGTGGATGTTGCCCCTGGTTGTAACACTGCTTTCTGTCTTTTAGCTCTTTTCCCTCTCTATTCTGGCACAGGATTATCTGCATTCTCTCTTTATTCTTTATTCCAGAGACAGCACAACTGGCATCATGAGAGTAGGTAGTCCTGGCAGAAACAGCAGATGAAGAGAAATGTACTAGCTTAGCTCTAAAGGAACTGATGCTCACAACTGAATTCTGACATAGTGGTCCCAACGAAGACTGAGAAATCAGCCACCCAGAGGTAAGATCTAAGCAAGATCAGAGTTTCTTCATCTCAATGTCAGTGATAATCACTGAAGCCTGGCTCATAATAAGTTCATAAAAACCTAAGAGGTGAAGCTCCACAGAAATACAGAAAACATACCACAAGTTCATCTAGACACAGTCCTTACCATGCAGGAAAATCAAAAAAAGTCACATGGACACTTACTCCTGGGCAGATGTATTTTCTTTCCCCTTCCTTTCCTACTTCCAGTATAACTCAGTCCAAATGGCTCCTAAAACACCTTGCAGGTGTGCATAAACTTTAAGAAGGAGCCAGGCTTGCAGGGATGCACTGCTGATAAGCACAGAGGTGCTCAGAATCATAATAAATTAAGACACTTGCTTATGTGCTTAAGTTCAGGGGGTTTCCTGGATGTGACTGGTAGAATGAGAAGGTGCCATATCCTTTCCGCCCACCAGGCCATTTCTGTTCCTCTCAGTGACAGTGTACAGTGTGTACAGTGCCCACAGCAGCCTAAGGGTGGCTGAGATGAATCTGGGCTAAACCACTGTTACCAGTAGCTTTGAGTTCCCACCAGCCATGACCATAAATCACAGATACAACTGACCACAGCACTTTCCAATGCTTCCCCTGTCAGTCCTGATGCAGGAAGCCTCTGAAAGGAGTTTGCCTCTCTCCCAGTATGCAGTGCAAATGTACACATGCTGTAAACATGAAACAGACTGGTAATTAATGGACTCTGTTCAAACTGAAATAACAGTCAGACCATGGGCAAAAATGAATGCATACAACTTCTGTCTTCAGGCTGAACCCACCCAGATTTTCCTCATCCTTGGCACAACTGAAAGGCTTAAAATATTCATGTAGCCCAACATGCTATGTGTAGACTCTGCATCTCCCATTAGCTGATCCACAGAATATGATTTAATTTAAATTTTATGTTCTGCAAAAAATTTTCTCATTAGGCTGTAAATACTGGTATAACCAGTGGAATACATGGAACTCTAATTTACAACAACCGAAAATCTGGCACAGTATGCATCAGCTACTGTCTCTGACCATTCTACTGAAAGGAGATCTCCAATACAACTATATTTAGTCTGATAAACAATGTATTTCCTCTTCCTGTGTTTTTCAGACCAGATGTGCTAAGGCCTACCATTGTAGGTGAGTGTTAGACCACTGCCAAAGTGGAAAATATTCCAGTTTAATCATGTAATTAATTTGGATCTTTGTATTTCCCCCCATTTTTAAAAGAAAGAATTCCTAGCTAACCTAAATAAGTCTCTGATAACAAAAATGGAGATATTTATTTGGACAGACTGCTTGGTTGCTTTGGGTTTTTGGGGTTTTTTTTAAGAAAATTAATTCTGGGTCAACTTCAAGGATTAAGCCAACTCCAGATTTTTCTTGCTAGAGGCATATTCCCAAGGATTTGGTTTAATATTTTTGGAAACTTAAAAATAGCATATTTTCTTTCTAGCTTTGTTCTTTCCTACTCAGCAAGCAGAGATTTTTGACCCTGTATTCCCAACAGAGCTTGAAACTAGCATGAGTCTTGTATCTGCTGGCATCTACAACAGCACACTATTACTATCATCCACACAATTACCACACAAATGAGAATCCCTCCCAACCCCATGCTGAAAAGGCCAGATCTTGATCTCTCTCGTACCACTGCACATGCAGAGTCACAAACACTCTCGTGCAATATGCTGACAAACATGGGTTTGCTTCTGCCCCACTCCAAAGTTAAATTGAGGGATTCCTGGTTATTCCTCTCTAGCAATGCTAGCCACTGTGTCTCACCAACTTGAGCCTTGGATGCCAGGGAATAGTTTCATCATCCAATACATGACATACACCCTAAGCTATTGCCTTTTTCTCTCCAATAATCTTAAAACAGTCAGAAGAGCTCACCCAGTAAATGGCTTTCATATGAAACATCCTCCTGCAGTGTAGGGAGCTTATTCAATCTGTGAGCAAAAGGGCAGCTACAAGAGTCCAGAGAGGAAGATCTGGGAGGTTAACAATATTTTTTGTCAGACACTATTCCCTTTCTTATTTTAGCCTGGGCTTCACCCACAATCAGATATGAAAACCAGATCTAACAGGGACTCCTCTGCTTCAGAAAATCATGACTAAAAGGGCTTTCTTGGGTTTTTTTGACAGTTATCACAGTCCAGAAGAAAGACTAATTCTAAAATTCTAGAATAGGTTCTTGAAGATGGGGAGACATTAGGTTCCATTTTCTCTGCACTAATCTGTCCTCATTAGTCATCAGATGCAGAAGCCTACAGAGAAGATGCTGACAGATGTGCAAAAGGAGATTGCTAGTATTCGTTCCATTAGTGCCAATGTAAAAGCAGGCAATGCTGGTGACAGCAACACCAATTCATCACCCTCTTTTGACATCTAAATATAAAGTAACTTATCCCTAAAAATGCAGGCTGGCAGTAGTAAGAATACAAAGTAGTCTTCCTCAGAGTATCAGTTCTCTAGGATGCCAAACATCCACCTAAACTAATTTGTGTGAATTTGGCCCATTGTTCTTAAGTTGCTAATTCAAACTGCACTATGGCTTCATGGTATTGACACCAAATAGCTCTTTTTTTTTCTATTTTATATACACTTATTTAAGATGGGAATGTTTTATATCAGATTAAACTACTTCTGGAGTTCAGTTCAGGTAGATCAACCTCCCTCCAGAAATAAGTGTGTTCACCCACCCAGCAGTCCTAGGAGCAATCAGCACAATGTTGAGTTCAATTAGGATGTTTTACAGGTAAACCTGCACACAAATCACTTGACTGAGCTATCACTGAAGAACAATTCAACACTATCATGTTTGTAATTACTAAGCATCTAAAAGCCATATAACTTCATTTTGTTTGTGAATTAAACATCATGTCATTGCCACAACTTACTTGAAAACCTTTCTTACTAGCACCAAAATATGCTTTTCATCTCTTTATCTGTGTATTCTTACAAACCCCTAAGCAACTCTAAACTTTTAGGCAGTTTTTGTCTTATGTTAACCTTAAAACTCAGTGTCAGATTTCAAGAAATTATTATTTTTTGCTAGAAATATAGATACTTATACCATTTCCAACAAAGGAAAGAATGCACAAGGTAGAAATGAGTGTTACTATTAACTGCATCAAGTCTGTCAGGCATTTAAATTAGCTTGATGTGGGATACACTGATTAACTGTAACAAAAAGCATCTTCTAGCATTGGACTCATTCAGTTAGCTCATAATTATCAACAAGGAACATTTCAGTCCAAGTTCTGTAAACCCAAAACACTCCGAAGATATGCAAAAGGTGCAGATATCACCTTATTTTCTTAAACCAATCAATCCTCACCCCTAGGTTCATTGGTTCCTTTTGTCACACTTTTCCCCTTCTCTTTTGTTTTCAACGCTTTCCTTAAGAAATAACCCAAGCCTTGAAACCTTTCAGATGAAGTGATGTTTGCAAAAAGACATCTAATATTTTTGTGTTTTCCTCCTTCACACGCAGGCAATGTTCTCTTACAGCAACAACAAAAAAAAGTGTCTGTGTTTTTTGGAATTAAACAACATAAGGCAATTAAATATTGAGAAGCAGTCAAGTGTATGATGAACATGAACCTTCCCATCAGTAGTGTGGAAAAGGAGGAGCTGAATTTGATCTGATTTGTAACCCCCTGTCCCAGGCCAGGCACGAGGATGTTCATCTCTTGTAGCAACAAAGCAAACAGTTCTTGCCTGCACAGGTAGCATCTTGCCCATGTACTCTTAGGTGGAAGGAAGATGCTAAGCAGCTGCTTGCTAAACTGAAGGCCATGAAAAATCATTTGGCTCTTCACTGTAACATCAAACCTAATTCATAGGTTTTTGGCCCCCAAATTCCAAATTGTACATCAGTCTGTTTTTGAAAGTTTACGTTTAACATGTCTGGGGGGTTCCCAAGTATCACTATCATCTGTTTCTTCCTCATCCTCCTGATCATCCAGCATTTCTTCTTCCTCCTCATTCTCATCAAACAGCTCTATTCCAAGTTCTAATCTTCTTTGCCTTTCTGCAAACCATTCTCTGACCTGCTCATATCCCATGTGAGATTTGGCTACCAGTTCATCAAGGTCTTGCTCATTAAGGAATTTGTGCTTCATATAATAGTCCTTCAGGATTGCTGTTCCAGTTTTAAATTTTATGACAGACACACCTCTGTCCCAGCAATTTAACCTCTTGCTTCCCCGAGGCCTCCCTCGAGGCCTCCCTCTCCCCCTCCCTTTTGGTCTTCCTCTCCCTCTCTTCCTTGCAAAGCCTTGGCCATTCAGACTGTTTGCACTGGCACTCTGGTAATAGTAATACCATTTCAATCCACCATTTTTCCAGGCATAGCGAGTATCTCCAAACCAGCTCACAATTTCTGATCTTGGAAGCCCAGTTTCTTCTGCCAGCTTGTTGTATTCTTGTGGAGATGGCCACTGAGTACGGACAAAGGAACTTTTGAGCATGTGCAACTGCTCTGGTGATTTTTTGCCTATTTTGCTTGAAGTGGCACACCCTGATTTTGCTCCTGCTGCTCCATCTCCCACAGATGTTTCTCCAGACTCGTCTTTTGAGCTGCCAGCATTGCTTTCATTTATGTCAGCTCCCTCTTCCTTCAAGACATTTGATTTCCTTTTTTCTGCAAACCAGGCATCAATCTCTCTCCTGGTCAGTTTTGTTTGGGCTCTTAACCTATTCATCTCTTCCTCAGTAAGGACAGAGTTATTAAGAAAACTTGCTTGGAGGACTTGCAGCTGTTCAGAAGTCTTCTCTTTGAATTTCTGTGGGGTGAAATCAGGAAAAGTACCCCAAGATGACTTGCTCTGTGGAGTGACTCCTGTTGGAGATTCATTCATTTCATCACTTGAATCAATAACAATGGTGGCACATGAATCACTGTTCAGATGAATCCCATGATTATTCTTTGAGTTCCTCTGATTGTAGCGTGTATCACTGAACCACTTTTTGATCTCTCCTTTAGTGAGGCCTGTTATTTTCATAAGTCTAACAATTTCTGAGTCTTGAGGAAACTGGTTTTTAAGGTAGCTGACTTTCAATTCTGCCAGTTGTTCCTTAGTTTTTTTTGCTCGGATGCCGAAGGAGTCAGGATTCATCAGTGTGGATTCATTTTTGATAGGCTGAGGGGCTGGAATTGCAGCTACTTGTTTGGTTTCTGCAATAGGCTGAGCACTGTGAATCTGACTCTTCTGTAACTGTGTCTGGTTTGGGACTCCTGCTACAGTCAAAGCTATTGGGGCTGTTACTGGTAACGTATTTGTACCTGCAACTTGAGTGAGAACAAGTCCTGGCTGACCGACTATTTGGCATGTCTGTAAAATTGAAGGTAAACCATTGCTAGCGGCTGAAATGTGTGCTGGAATAACAGTAATTGTCTGTGGCACAGTATGCACTGTGCCATTAAATTGTTTCCTCCTTGCTTCCTCCACCTCCTCTGGCGTCCAACTCACTCCGTGTTTCAGACGCTGGGCAGAAAACCATATTTTAATCTGCTCTTCTGTGTACTTAGCTTGAGAGGAAAGAACAGTGATTTCTGACATGGTTGGATACGGGAATTTGTTGTAGGTGTTAAGCAAAAGAGGATTGTTATCCAAAGCAGTGTTATAGGCTGGAATGCTATTTACAGGTATTAGTACTTTTGGAATCAGGTTTGAGTTCTGTGGAGCTGTAACAGCTGTTATAACCTGTGCCACTCCAGGCTGAAGCACTGGTGCTGGGGTCACTACTGCAGCAGCCACATCTGCAGCACTGCAAACAACTGAATGGCTTGGTTTTGACTCAGAAACTGACGGTGGGGGGTTTTCTACTGCTTCTTCAGAGTTTGGCTCATTTTCAGTTCCCTTTTCTTCACCAGGAATGTCATCAACTACATTGTGGAAAACCGCAATACGTTTAGCCTCAGATTTGTTTTTCATCATTTTCATGATAGGAGTTTTGCTAATGGAGATCCCTGATGAGGGGACCTCAGAAGAGTCAGCCTGTCCAGCATTTTCTTCTCTAACAAAACTCCCATCAAAAGTGAGATCATTTACTGTCTGTTCAAAGATTGTCTGGTTATTACGTTTCACCATAGTCAATTTAAAATTCTCCTCTCCAGGGTGGTGCTTCAGATTATGTTCTGAGAGGGCATCATATCTTTTGGTAAGGAAATTACATTCTAAACAAACGTAGGATGAATTTAATACTACGTTGGGGTGTTCTGAATCCACATGAAAAGTAAACATATTGAGATCTGGAGTTTGAAAAGTACAGTATTTACACTCATAACCACCTTCTACTTTATTTGTGTTTTTCTTATTGTCTGAATCCACATATTCATGAACATCCTCATCACTTGTTACACTCTCTGCTGTAGGGTTATCTGCTGCCGTGAGCACAGGTGGTCCTTCCTCCAAGTCTGATACCATTTCTAGATCTGGATCCTGCTCATTGGCTAAGACCATGCAGGGTGTTGTTGATTTTCGTTTACTTGCCATGACTGTTACTGTGAGAATTATAACGACTGGTCAGATACAGACTTAGCTTCAAGCTCTTCTTGATTAATAACAGTAATAATAATAATAATAGTAATGGCTTTCGGTACTTCAAGTCAGTTCTTGTAAAGTCTCAACATTTATCCCATTAGCAGCTTTTCTTTCGTAGTGCAATCAGATTAAAAATAGTTGAGGATGAGATGTTGAGACACACTGTTTTAAAGTCCACATCCACCACCTGTAGTAAAGAAGAGACAGTGGAATTAGTTTAATTTAAATAATAACCTTTATTTTGCTACATATTATGTTTAAGGTAATTCAGTCCTTTGGGGTTTAGTGTGCCACTGCTCATCCCCTGAAACCAGCAGACCCATTCCAAGAAGAGATGGTTGGAGCTAAGATAAGAAAGGCAAAATCCAATCCACTTATTACAGACTGAAATTTGTTTCAGTTCCTGTTAATGATGTGAAACAGTGACAGACCTAAACAACAGAATGGTGTAAAGCAGGTAACTTCCTGACTGTTTCCCTTGCTTCAGAAGCCTTTTACTTGGCACAGTGCTGATGTCAGTCTTGCCCGTGGACTGCTTTGCCTAAGCTACGACAACTCGGGACTGTTCTGTGAGCTCAAGTCCTTCCGATCACTAACTTGAGCCCAGTACAACATCTCCACTGCTGCCTCTGTCATGTGAAGTGTACCAGAAAAGGCAAGTTTGGAGTGTTTTTCTATTGCATTATACATGCAAGCACAATCATGTGCAAGGCCTTTCTTCCATCTCTGAAAACAGGCAAAACAATGTCTTTTTAAGGCACTCTGACATACAAATGACAACTATCCTTTCTTCCTAGCTTCCCAAATGTCATTCTCCAATTGAAGACCAGTCCCAAACCAATAAAAGTTGATCGCTAGCACCTGGCAATTAACTAAAATCTGTTTTCATGCCTCTATGCGTTAACAGAGACATGACTGATTGTGTAAATTATAACAGAGAGAAAAAGCATTAAAGACTGATATCCCAAGCAGAAGCCTTAGCTTCACAATTTTTCTTTAGGCAAAAAAGAAAAGTGTTCATCCATAGTTGCCACCCAGTGCTGCTCCATAAGTCCTGTTTTTTAAGCTGTGTGTCACCTTACTGCTTCATAAATATCCTCCTTAAATGTTTTTAACAGTCACCCTCTGCACTACATCTGTGACTACATCCAAAGTGCAGAGCCTCACATGATATGCTTTTTATGCCAAGGATATGGTTACATGGCCTTAAGGACACTGAAAATGCTTAATAAATCTTGGGTAATCATCATTCCAGGATGACAATTATTTAATGGTACTGGAGTAGAAAGATATCCTTCTTCCACAAGTTAATAGTGGCAGTCTGTAAAACTGAGCACAGAAGTGCAAAGATATTTATTTTCATGTATGTACAAAGTACCTATTGCAGGCCACCTCATTTCTCCTTGCAGCAAGAGAACCATGAAGCAAAGCTAAACAGATCCATTTGTCACAGTGTCCCAAGGGACAAGAGGTAGAGCATTATTAACTGTGCTGCTTCTCTGTGGGGCTGGAGGGCTCTTGACAAAAGGGAAGACAACTGCCAAGACAACGTTGAGCAATGCTCTGGGGGAAGAGCTGGGTGGTATTACCTAATGTTTCTGCGATTTTGAGTAAAATTTCAGAAATGGCAGAAATGGCTGTTTTAAAAAGCAGCTTAACAGCTAGTTTTGCTGACTGAAGTTGCATTTTGAGAAGTGATTGTGGTACTCAGTAGTGCCTCATCCCTAGCACAGCACACAGGATCTATACACAGGGCAGTCTGAGTGAACTTAGGTGTCTGCCAAGGGTCCCATTCTGGCATGGCACGGAGCACAAGTGAAAGCAGCATTTGATCTGACAGTATTGAAGAATGCTGAAGGCAAGGCCGGAGATAAGGAATAAAATGGGAAACCTGTTCAACAAATCAATAAATGTTCTTCTCCAGTCTCCTCATGTACCCAGTAGTGTTCACAGTGCCTGTAGGCCAACAGGTCTATGTGCAATTGCAGCACCTGCGGGCATTTAGCTAAATCTGTATCGCATCTCTGCTGTGCTTCAGTTTTGTTTATGGTGCATAGGCAGGTTATTGTGTCCCTCCTCTGTTTACCAAGATAGCAACACATTTCAGGTCTCAGAAAAAGAAAGCTGCATCTGTGCTCTTCTGACTATACTGTGTAAAATGTTTTGGTTTTTTGTTTAAAGGATGCTGTGATGTCAAAACCCTGTTTAATTCATGGCTATGAAGAGCTATGACAGCATTCAGTAAAATCTTAACAAAGTGAGATGCCTGCAACCCTTCCCAGCCTTCTTTCCTCTACAGACTTGGCAGAAACCTCCATTCCCTCCTCCCTGGAGCTAATGTGATTATTCCACCTGTAGCACCCTTTTGACATTTCTCTCAATTTAGCAGTGGATTATGAAAACTCACAGTTGTGTAGTTTATCCAACCAATTATGCATCATCCTTGGAATCTTCATTTCCTCTACAATACCTCTCTTGTTCTGCTTACAGGAGTGTGTGGGACCTTGCAACACAGCTGAACTTCAGTAAGGTCTGCAACATTCTGCACCAGTAGGCCAATGACTCCAACAAAAAATGAAGTAACAGTGTGGTTTTGCCATATCCACCTTTCTAAGAACCTTGTTACAATTCTCGAGGTTCTTACAGACTGGTTTTTAGTAAGTTCTTCCTGTACTGAGCTGGGAATCATCCCTTTAACTGACCTGAGATTCACTATGTGTTCTCTGCTCAAGCATTTCCCTTGGTTAATACTGGGCAATCTTGTGCTTAGCTGTCTCAAGGCCACTGAGACTTCCCTCATATTCCATGAATTCATGAAGGTCATCACTAATGGTTCAGAGAATGCTTTTGCTTGTCCCTTACATACCTTAAGGTCAAGTATGTGACAAAATATTGTGAAAGATTTTCTCTTTTTATCCCTCCTTGTAAATATTGACATTGCATTGTGCAATTTGGTTTCCAATTGAAGAATTCGGGTGTTTATTTTATGCCAAAAGCAGCATTTTTTAGTAAAGGAATCTGAAGAAAAACTTTCAATTATTTACACTGCAATCCCCTTCTGTAATTTCACCTCAGATTTTCACAGAATTGATATTCCTAGCAAATCGGCCCATGAAACACATGTTGTTCTAGGAACATAAACCAGCAAGAGCAGGCTTGCAAGTCCAGAATCTGATATTTTATCTTTCAGCATGCAATTTCTCAGGACACTGTTCTTAAGAAACATGAACAGTTAGCAATCCCAATTAATAATTATATTAATACAGATTTATTCCAGAGTGGAATTCAACATTTAAAGTTGTCTTTATAGCAGATTTGGATGAAGACTTATGTAAGTGTTTTCTAAATGGAGGCAGAAACCTTCTGCCACTTAATTACAATTTGGGAAGGAAAAGACATAGAGCTGACCATAGAAGACAAACATGAAAGAACCTGCTTCCAGAATTTTTTTTCATTCACTTCCTCCTTCCCTCCCCCAAAGAGGAGTAGCTGATGCAGCAAAAAAAGTAAATGAGTTTACAGAAAACATTCACTGTGTGTTCAGGGTGTATGCTTTCTGAAAAGGCATTGCTCCGTGCTTTCTCTATCTTCCATCTAGCATGCAGGGAAAGCCAAAAAAAATCCAACTCCATGTAATGTGATTTTAAGGATATGCAGAGAGTGGCTCAGGAGAAGATGAAGCAATAGAACCTGCTTCTAACTTTTAAATCCACCTAGATTACAAATTGCCTACAACTTCACACAGGAAACGCTGCCTTCTTATAACTCATGACAATATCCAATTGTTGCTCCTCTGTTTAGCCTCCTTCTACTACCATTTTTCAGAGTAGATGTATCTATGTCAGAAACTATTCTGCAGAGCTCAGTATAGGCTAATACACTCTGATCTGTGCTGCCTCTCAGTGAGAAGGGTGAAGGACTTTGTTGCAGTGCCATTTTCTTCAGTTGCTCATTATCTGCAAAGTTCAGAGAGCTTTACTGCTTATGACTCCAAAATAAAGCTGTATCTCTGTTAATTCTGCAATATTCACATTTGATTCCTCTTTTTAAATAAGGCCCAGTACTAACCTAGCATGGGAGTGAAACTTGTCAAACTGATTTCAGCAGAAGCCCTCATGTGTTACAAAGATAAGGCCCACTTAGGGTCCACGCTGCATTAGGACTGGTAATGAGGGAGGCAAGCACCAAAAGCTGTAGTGCCCACGCAGAGCTCCAGGCTGTGCCAACGCCAAACCCGTGATGGAACACTGGAAAGCTGTCACAAAGCCCAGCAGAGGCTGAAGGGAGCCTGCCACAGGACATGTGACTGGACTTCCTCAGTTACTTCCTCTCAGTACTGGTTTTAATGGGTAACATGCAGTTCCATCAAAGTAAATGCCAGAAGCAACTGCTAAATGACCTACATTATCTTTCTCTATTGCACAATTTAGCCCAGGTACCTCTGTGGAGAGCACAGTAACTTCTGTCCCTGTTTTTGGTACAGAAAGCCGTAACCAGGTTTTATATCTGATAATATAAAGCTAAAGACCAAACATCTCCAGTACTTAAAGATCAGGCTGCACTGACCAAGAGGTACCTTTAGCATGAATGGTGCATGTCTCTGCTCCTCAGTCACACACAGGTATTTTTTGTGTGATACAGACACCTTGGCAGCTACACTCACATAGGCAGACCTTTATTTTATTGACTCTGAAGTGTCCAGTTCAAACTGTGAGCACTCAGTACTTTTAATGTCAGACATCTCTGCATGACTGTTTCTGAAAGTGAGTATCAGACTTGTGTAAATGCTTATCATACCAAATAAAATGGCAGCAGAGTCGGGGAATTTTTTCTTAGCATAGTTGCAGCTCTATTTTGTTTTAATTGCTGTGCTGTTATATACAAAACAGAAAGGATGAAGAAATAAATTACTGATAGGAAGAGAAATTTTAATGTGTTCTGCATTGAATAAACATTTAATTCAACCCTCCAAATGCTTCATGTTGGCTTTAAAAAAAGTAGAACAGTAAGAAATTATTAATTTTTAAAACTGTTTATCAAAATGTTTGCCCTTAAAACACCAAAACAAAAGGTTTTATTATCATGGGATTTCCTTCTTCAAAATTAAACAATCTGGCACACATATGACTTCACAAAACACTTCTTTCAACCTCATTCTACCTTTTTTTTTTGTTCTTCCAGATGAAA